CTTTAACCACTGTAACACCAGGGCTCATTTATCAGCCAAAGATGGGAAATAATTCAAGTATCTGTAATTAAAAGTGGCTAAATAAGCGTAGTGCCTAAGGCACTTGACTGCTAACCAGAAGGCTGGTGGTTCAAACCCACCAGCCACTCAGAAGGAAGATGGGCCAATCTACTTCCGTAGTGATACTGCCTTGGAAACCTAAGGAGGGGTCGCTATGAGTCAGGTCCAACTCGAGGGCACATAACGGCAACAACAACAAATAACACTACAAGCATACAATAGAATATAATGTAGCTGTAAAAAAGAGTGAGGAAGCTTCAGTGCACTCATGTGAAATAGCTTCAAGACACATTGTTAGGTGAAAAAAACGTAGTATGCTACATTTTTTTTTTTTAAATAAGGTAACATATACATTTGTAATTGCTCATATTAGCAAGATGAAACACTGGAAGGACACAGAATAAAAGTCAATCCTTTCCAAATTTCTTTAGCATCCTTGCTGATTTCTTGCTTCATCACCTGCTTAGGAAAACCCCAACTATGATTAAGCCCAACTAGCCTTACTATAGCCTCTGGGTGGTTCAAATGGTTAAGCGCCTGACTGCTAACCAAAAGTTGTGGGTTCAAGACCACCCAGAGGCACCTCAGAAGAAATGCCTGGTGATCAATTTCTGAAAGTCTGAATGGCAACTTTTTTTTTTCTTCCCAAAACCTTATTCTATGCCTGAAGTTGAACATCTGCAGTAAAACTCACACCAATTTGACTGCTCTTTCTTTAAATCTATGTCCAAAACATCTAGACACCATTTAACACTGCTCACTCTTCGTAATATAGTTCCCTAATGTCTTCAATAGGACCTCTGGTAGCATAGTGCCTAAGGCACTTGACTGCTCACCAGAAGGCTGGCAGTTCAAACCCACCAGCCACTCCTCGGAAGGAAGGTTGGGCAATCCTACTTCCATAGTGATACTGCCTCGGAAACCCAAGGAGGGGTCGCTATGAGTAGGGTCTGACTCGACGGCACATAACAACAACAACGTCTTTGGGTTCTACCATATAAAACCACCATTTTCCACTTCACCCTGCTCTTCAAATCTCTTAAACTTCCTTTTCCCTCTACCCTCTTCCAGTGTGGAGTGAGAGGTGACCTAAATGACCTCTAATATGACCATTCTACTTAAAGATTATGATCCATTTTAGAGTTCCTTTAAGACCCTACTATAGTCTCACTATCTGGAAGTTTTCTCTGACAATTACAGCCCACATTGTTTTCCTCTCTGAGTTCCTTCCTCTCTTACTCTTCACTCTAGTATTTAACTTTGTATATATATCTATCTCTCCAAGACTTGGAATTCCTTTGAGGGTACAGAATTTAACTTTACACATGGTAGGCACCCAAACATTTGTTTCAATTGAGAAATAAGTTTCTCTTTTTGATTGTTTCCCATATTAATCTTAGAAGTAGACTGTTAACCACTTGCAGGCAGGCGTTGTATTTATTTGTATTCCCTTACAGCACCTAGTAGGAGTCCTTGGGTGCTACCAATTACTAATGTGCTCAGCTGCTAACTGAAAGGTTGGAGGTTCGGGTCCTCCCTAAGGGACCTTGGAAGAAAGGCTGGAGAGAGCTACCTCTGAAAATACTATGGAGACATGGAGGCAGGATGAACCCCCAAAACTATTGCCATAAAATAATCTTTAATCTTTAAAAACAATTCCCAAAATATTCTTAAAACCAAACAGTATAGCTTAACTAGTAAAGCATGCCCTGAGCATTATGCTGTTTTGAGATCTATCTATATGGGATCAAACTGACAACAGCAACTTGAAAGATTAGATTGGAACCTTAGGAGTCAGTGAATTTATGTTAATGGGGCAGGAACAACTTAGACAAGGAGAATGTGAATGGTGCACAACTTGAAGAATGTCATCAATGTCACTGATGTGAATATGTAGAAACTTGAGCTGCTTCTACGAAAAAGCGTGTTTTAGCTGTGTATATTCTCAACAGCAACAACGACAAGAAAATAAATTATTAAAAAAAAAATACAGTCAAGAAAATTCTATGGGGCAGTTCTACTCTATAACACGTGGCGTTGTCATTAGTTTGGGGTAAATTCCATGCATAGGGAAAAAAAAATTGGAAAAAGTACCAAATTACTAATGATATATTTTAAATTTCCTTTTGTTATAGTAATATTAAAAACAGTTTTTCTACTCTGACACACGTCGAGGCCACCATGAATTGGAATCCACTTGATAGCAACTGATAATGGTATTGGTATAACACCTAGTAGGTGCTTGATAGAGCCCTGGTAAAAAGGGTTAAAGCACTCAGCTGCTAATAAAAGGGGGCAGGTGGAATCTACCAGCTGCTCTTTGGAAAAAAGATTTTATGATTTGCTCCCATAAAGATTATAGCCTAGGAAACCCTATGGGACAATTTTACTCTGTCCTATAAGGTGGCTAGGGGGCTCTGGTCGTGTAGTGCCTAAGGCATTTGACTCCTAACCAGAGGCTGCCGGTTCAAACCCACCAGCCACTTCTCAGAAGACTGGGCAATCTACTTCTGTAGAGATACCACCTCGGAAACCCAAGGAGGGGTCACTATGAGTTGAATCAATTCGATGGCAGTGAGTTATAAGGTGGTTATGAGTCAGAATTGACTTGATGGCACACAACAGGTACTTGATGAATATTATATTTGAATGGGTGGAACCAGACCTTGGACCTTTGGCCCAAGAAATGTGGAATGAAGGCAAAGGTGAAAGAGGCAAAAGGTCAAAAATGCCACTCTTTTGGGTAAGAATGTGGGCATTTCACTTTTTGCAATTAAAAAAAAAATGTGTTCAGGAAAATATTTCCATGGTCAACCATGATATGCTTAATACATTAAAATTAAATCATTGTAAAGTAGAAACTAGAAATTGTAAAGGTGTTGAATATGAGTTTCAATTTAAAAGGATTTAACAATATAAATATTAACAGAAGGGTTGGGATCAACAGTTGTTGTTAGTTGCCATGGAGTCAGCTCCAATTCATGGCAACCTTAAGTATAACTGAATGTTGCCCAGTCCTGTGCCATCTTCATGATTTTTATATGATTGAGCCCACTGTTGTGGTTACTGTGGCAATCCATCCATGGAGGGTTTCCCTTGTTTTGTTGACCCTCCACTTTACTAAACATGATATCCTTTTCTAGCGATTGTCCTTTCCAGATAGCACGTCCAAAGTAAGCAAGACAAAGTTTTGCCATCCTCTCTTTGAAGGAACATTCTGGTTTTATTTCTAAGTCTGGTTTATCTGTTCTTCTGGCAGTCCATGGTATATCCAATGTTCTTCACCAACACCACAATTCAAATGCATCAATTCTTGTGTTTTCTTTTTTCATAGTCCAGCTTTCGAATGCATAAGAGGTGACTGAAAAGACCATGGTTTGGTTCACGCATGCCTTAGTCATCAAAGTGACCTCTTTGTTTTTCAGAACTTTGAAAAGGGCTTTTGTAGCAGATGTGCCCAGTGCAATATGATGTTTGATTTCTTCACTGTTGCTTCCATGGGTGTTGATCATCAAAGTAGAGTGAAATACTTGACAATAACACAGTGTGTGTGTGTGTGTATGTATAGTTGTTGTTATGTGCCGTTGAGTCGGCCCCGACTCAGTGACCCCTTCTTGGGTGGCCGAGGCAATATATATATATATATATATATATATATATATGTATGTATGTTTGTATGTATGTCTCTAGCTTCCCTGGATAGTTTTGTCAGACAGTAGGTTGCTCTGGGGGATCTGGGGGAAATTGTTTGGGTGCAGAGACCGAAAAGGAACTAACATTGAAATCTGAAATTTATTAGAGCCCAGAATTTAAAGTTCCTTTTCTAGCACAGCTGCCTCGGGAGTACTTTATATATATATATATATATATATATATATATATATATATAGGAGAGGTGTCTGAACCTCCAACCATTAGTCACAGTGAGAAGACAAATAGGGCCCTGCTGACGGATTAAAGATGTGTAAAGGACAAACTCAGTCGCCCACAGAGATGTATATGGTGCATCCACAGGTCAATGTTTTGTGTGCATCTGTCTTAAGTTGTTGAGCTAATGTAATTCTGCCTTTCCATCTTTCGGGTTGAGCGACCCCTTCTTTCTTTTCTCTTTCCTCCTCTCCGTGCAGGAGCTCTGGTAGCATAGTGGCTAAGGCACTTAACTGCTAACCAGAAAGTCGGCGGTTCAAACCCACCATCCACTCCTGGGAAGGAAGATTGGGCAATTTACTTCCGTAGTGATACTGCCTCGGAAACCTAAAGAGGAGTCGGATCCAACTCGATGCCAAGTAACAACAACCTCTTGCAAAACCTGTGAATGCTGCGGGTGGGGTCAACGGAGGAACAAGGTTTGGGGGTGGCGTTTCCTGGTCCCCTTCCTCCTGACATCAGTGTTTTTCACGCATTAAGGGACAGGACCATAGTTGCTACAGCATCCAGCAGTTTACATTAAAACAAACAACAAAAAAGCAAATTCCAACCCACGTCCCGCGAATCCCACAGCACGACTATCTACCTTACCTCCTCTTTTGAGATATTCCTTAAGCCCTTCAGCTACACTTCAGAACCTAACCAGTCAGAAAGTCCCTACTTCAAGAACACTGCCCTATCAGTGTGCCCTCACCTGCCGAAAGTGTGGAATTCGTTTCGGTACGCGATAGTCTCCTGAGCCAATCAGAGATGGCTACAACTTGGACAGGCGCCAATCGGCCCTGTAGGGCGTACTGGGAGGAGTCGCACCTGGCTACGGTGAATCATTCAACGGAGCGGCAGCTGCCTTCACCAATCAGAATGTGCAGGGGTGCAGCGCAAACCAATCCGGCAGAGAGGGAAGGGCCGGGAGGGGCTCAACCTGCGGATGGAGTTTAGTATGCGCGCTGCAGTCCGCGGAGCGCTGTCTTTTCCCAGGGCTCAGGCGGCGGCCGGCGTTTCGGAATCCTGATCGTGATGGGGACAAAGGCGGGAGTCGAGAGGAAACAGTTGCTTCTCTTCACATTGGCGATCCTGTGTAAGTTCCTGGAGTTTTGGGAGGAATCGGGGGTCGGGTCAGAAGTTGGAGGAAGAGGCTCTCCACGCCCTTTGCCGGAGAGTGGGGAGGAGTTCGGAAACCCTCCTGCCTTACCCTTGGGGTTTTTTTCCACCCGGGCTAGTCCACCTTCTATCCCCTCCCCCGCACCTGGTGCTGGGCTGGGCACCCCTCCCCCACACCAGTGAGTTGTGACCCCTCCCCTTACGCTCACTAGGAGCGAACTGCTCTTACCACACTCAGGCTGGCCGGGACTGCCTCCCCTTCCAAAAATAACTGAGTAGGGCTGTTTTCTCGCTCCCACATCCTCACAAACTGGTGAGAGCCAGTGGGCGCGAGGAACTTCCCATATACGTCTATCCAACCATCCCGCCGCCACACGCTCATCGTGCCCTTCCAAAACGCACCCAACCTCTACAACCACCCAAGAGAAGCCATAAGCCTCTCTCCTCTGACTCCCTTGGTTCCTGGGTGCTCTGCTCCTTCAGGGCCCTCAGAGAAAATCTAATGGAGCTAGAGTGGAATGCAAGTCTCTTTCTCTGGCTGTTCGGAAGGGGCCTCTAGTTTCCCTGGATAGTTTTGTCGGATAGTACGTTGCTCTGGGGGAAATTGTCTGGGTGCAGAGACCGAAAAGGAACTAACATTGAAATCTGAAATTTATTAGAGCCCAGAATTTAAAGTTCATTTTCTAGCATAGCTGCCTCGGGAGTACTTAATAAGTGTTGTTGACTGAGTGGGGGAGATGGCTGCTGCTTGGCTGGATTCACCTCAGAGCCAGAACTCTGCCCTCCTCCTGGCCGCGTACTAAGAGATTTTGTTTCCCTTGTAAACTCTCTTTCCTTTGGAACAATGTGAGACTACCTTGCTGGGGCATGCCTCCCTCTATAGATAAGTTTGTGTGGGCATGAGTGTGTAGTGGGCTGGGTTAGCCTTAGCTAACCTGTGTCAACACCTCTGTGTTAGTATATGTCTGATTCTTGGGAGGCCTGTGCGTGTGCTTATGTGTTGTGTCTGTCAGTCTGTGTTCTGTAAGAGTCTTTGTGTATTTTCCTCAAAGTTCTTGTTTTAGATAGTGTAAAAGAAATGAACGAGTGCAACTAGTATAAGTGGTTAAAAGGCAATTCATTTTGCCTAATATTGAAGACAGAACTAGATTTTTCGCCTTCAGACAGGTGATTTTACTCGTTTTTTGGTTTTCTTGAGGTGGAGTGAACCAGATACAAGTCTAATCCACCCCCTATTGTACAGATGAGGAAATAGGTCCGGAGAGAGGAAATGACTTTTCCAGGTTGACAAAGAGGGTTAGATTGGACCTGAGAATCCAATCAAAGTGCCCTGACTTCTCCTTATTCTAGTCCTAGATTCGGCATCTCTAGCATCCTAAGGCATAGGAGCCATGATATCAAAGTCAGTGCCTTACTTCAGAATCTACTATCTTTACTTACATTTTTAATTTTCCTTTTTCACTAGGTTCTTTCTTCTTTCACTTCTCCCTTTTACTGTACTCTTCATTTCCCTTTGTCTTTCTCTTGTACCCTCTACCTGCTCACTTCTGCCTGTATCTTAGAACTGCCAGTTTCACCCATGGTCAACTTTTGGTTCTGTGTGTGGTACTCTATGCTAAAGATTTTGCACCCATGTACTGTACCAGTACATCCTCTCCAGCCCCCAAACTGACAAGTCTCCTTTTTGTCAGTAACTCAGTTTGCAACAGTATTCGTCATGCTTGTAAGATTTCTAGAGCTGCTTCCCTCCCTCCCTTTCTTTTTTTCCTCTCCCCCTAGTTTTCTGTATTATTTGTGATAAACTCACAACAATCACTTACTGACACTCAAAAGTTGATATCATCATTCTGAGCTTGTGGATGTTGTCTAGTCTGTTCCAAAGGTACCTGAGATAATACTGCACTAGTTTGGCAGAACAGTAGGTCCTGGGAAGTAACAAGTTCAGGGACTGTAGGAACTGGCTCAGCCTGGGGGTGCTCAGTGATTTACTTAGTGCCAAGAGCCTGTACACAGGGCCCATCCCATCCCACTTGGGTTCTAGCCTAGTTCTGTCTCTGCTTTGTTTGTGATCTTAGGCTAGCAGTTTAACTGTATGTCTTTGGCCTCAGTCTTTCCATCTGTAAAACAGGAGTAATAATACCTGTCGTACTCTGGTAGCATAGTGCCTGAGGCACTTGACTGCTAATCAGAAGGCTGGTGGTTCAAACCCACCAGCCACACCTCGGAAGGAAGGTTGGGCAATCCTACTTCCGTAGTGATACTGCCTTGGAAATCCAAGGAGGGGTCGCTGTGAGTCGGGGCTGACTCGATGGCAAATAACAACAACAACCCTAGTCATGAAGATCAGCTGGGGTAATAGCTACATTATGTGTTCCTGAAAGGATTATTGTTGGATGGTTATCATCCCTGAATCTAGCCTTTCAGATTCTGTGAGGGAGAGTGTTGTTCCCAGTAGAGTAGGTGAAAGGAAGCAGGGAGAGACCCTGCTAGATCCCAGAGTCAGAACATTGGGCTTTTTCTTGGCCTCCTGATCTGCCCTCTGCCCCTGGGATGTCTGAGCACATGCAGGTTGGCCTTGTGCCTCTCCTCTGCTCCCTCTAGGCTGCTCCTCATTGTGGATTCTGCCATCAGAAGAGAGGTCAGGATAGGATGGAACAAGTCAAGTGAAGGCCTGACCCCAGCTTAGGGAACACTAGAGAGGAAAGGCCTGCTGGGGCAGAGACCTGGGCGCTAAACTCTGGGAAAGTTAATGTGATGACCCAGCACGCCAGTCTCCCTTTCTTTAAAGAACCTGCACTTAGGAAAGATTCCAAACCTCTCCCAGGAGAGAAAAGGCATCCTGCCTAGCACACTGGTATGTGGGTAGAATAACTACAGGGAGAAAGGGGAGCCTGGTTGGAACCCTGACTTTTGTCCCCTGTTGTCTCCTCCCACTGCCGGGCATTCCAGGAAGGAGGAATTGCTGCCCTATGTTGAATCAGTCTGTAGTCCCAGAGTTTCCTAATGATATTTCTGACTGGGCATAGCCAAGATCTTCTTAGTTTTGTTATTCAGGGCCCTGTTCTGGTGCAGACTTTACTAAAAACTGAAAGTTTTCATAGAGCTGCTGGGATAGGGCTGGCTCGATTGCTGATTAACTCTAGTGAAGTAGAGCGGTGGTGAGTCACTCCCCCTCCCCTTCTGTACTTCCGGTTTACTCCCAGTAAAGGATTGTTCCCTCGAAACTAGAAAGTAGTGACAGGCAACAACTGGCACCAGGAAATGAATGGTAGTAGAATTCCAGTACCGTACTTTTCCCCTCTTGGTTCCAGGATGCTTTCACTTTATATTAGTCTTCAGTTCTTTGTTCTCAGGGCTTGGTCTGGGGTGCCTGGCCTAGTTCTGGTTTGGGACAGAGCTACTCTGATTTTTTTTTTTTTTAATTATTTATTTAGAATAGGTTGATACATTCATGTGGTTCAAAAATCAAAATGAAATTAAAGGGATGGAATATCTTATTCCCACTCATTACCACCCTGTTCCTGTTCACCCCATGACTCCCATAGTTTCCTACTTATCTTTCCATTGCTTTGTTATACAAATAGAAGTGTATATATGTATTCTTTTTTTGTCCTTTCTTACACAAAAAGAGGCCTACTATATACACTGTAGAGAGACCTGGTGGCTCAGTGGTTAAGCATTCAATTATATAAAACAAAAGTTTGGTAATGTGAACCCAACAGCTGCTCTGCTAGAGAAAGATGTGACAGTCTGCTTCTTTAAAGATTACAGTCTTGGAAGCCCTATGGGGCAGTTCTGCTCTGTCCTGTAGGATCACAATGAGTCAAAACTGACTCAGTGGCAACAGGTTTATACATAGTACAGTCATACTATGGAGAAATTGTGGGTTTGGTTCTAGACCACCACAGTAAATTGAATATTGCAATAAAATGAGTCACAAATGTTTTTGTTTCCTGGTGCATATAAAAGTTATGTTTATACTATAGTGTAGTCTATTAAGTGTATTATGAAAAAGCGTGAAATATTGTGAGAGAATTACCAAAATGTGACAGACACAAAGTGAGCACATGCTATTGGAAAAGCTGATAGATTTGCATGGTGCAGGGTTGCCATAAACTTCAATTTGTAAAGAATGCTGTATCTGTGAAGTACAGTAAAGCAAAACAAAGCAAAGCAAAACACAATAAAAGGAGGTTTGCCTGTTCTATATTTTGCATAACAGTTTATCTTGGAGAGTATAGGTGTTGTGGCTTTGGCCATTAGAATCCCTGCCTCCCTACCTCCCACACAGAAAGGTCACCTGAGTTCAAAGGGTACCTGCCCTTGTTCTTTGAACACAGAAATGGCTGACATCTCCATTTTTCTTAGATAGATATAAATACTACACACATTTTATGTGATAGATTAGGAAATGATCAGGCTTGTTTTTCACTAGCACTGAGAAGCTCTGGTAGCATAGTGGCTAAGACACTTGCCTGCTAACCGGATGGCTGGCGGTTCAAACCCACCAGCCACTCCTCGGAAGGAAGGTTGGGCAATCCTACTTCCGTAGTGATACTGCCTCGGAAACCCAAGGAGGGGTTGCTATGAGTCGGGGCCGACACGACGGCACATAACAACAACAGCACTGAGGAGAGACCTTGGGGATCCTTTTCAGAGGTTCAGGAAAGACTTGGATGACCACACGTCAAATGTATTGTAGAAGAGGTTTCAGTGTTATGAAGAGGCAATTGTGTGAGGCAGAACGAATGGACACATACTGGGGTTTTCCAGGCATTGAAAACCAGAGTTCATCTGTCTGGACTTCCCTGATAAGCAAGAGTTTCAGTCTAAAGTCCAGCTTGTGGCATTTGTTTCTCAGTGTGGGGGTGGGGCTGGAGGAAGCTGCTGGCTGCCAGGAGGTTTGATGCCAGGCCACTGGACCGTGCCCTGGGCAGTTTGCTGGTGATAATCCTTGAGCACACAACAACAACAACAATCCTTGAGCTAGCAAGCCTACTTCCTTTGTAATGGCCGCGCTGGGGAAGATGGATGGGGGAGGGGAAAAGGAGCTGAGCAGGAAGAACTGGAAATTCTGCTGAGAGAGGGCAGGAGGGAGCATTGGAGTGAAAGCTCCCCTGTCTTGCACTTACTTGCCATTACTCCAGTACCACTTTCTGCCTTACCCTTAGGGCTGTCCCGGCTGATGTCACTGAAAGTGCAGCCAAGATTGGCTGTTTAGATGTAGCCCAGCTTGTTGTCATGTTCACCAAGTCTTCCTCTTGCCCATACATTCCTTATCTGTCCCACCCAGTTTCCAATTGGGGCTTGTCAGCATGTAAACTTTTCCTGGCCCACTAATGGAAAGTCCAGTCATTATAGGAGTAAGTTCGGTCTTTACAGGGTGAGTTATAGGGAGGAAAGAGCAAATGGAGAGGTGGAAGCCGTAGGTCCAGGTTTTAATGCTATTGCGATGTTCAATTCATTTGTTTCTCCAACAAACGTGGGTGTTTATTGTGTTCTCAGCTGTTTGCTAGGAATTGGGGTTAAACATATGTATGAATAACACCTGCTGTCAGGAAGGTAGCTCTGAGGGAAGTGGAGGTGTTGCTAACAGGTAACAATTAGCATATAATAGGTAAATGCAGGTGTGCTGTAACTTTTGGTTTTAGGAGATCTTGACTAATCCTCCCTACTAGCTCCATTATACCTAAAGTCTTGTATGAGGCTCCTATGACGCTCATGGTCAAAAGAGAAGTTTAGATGAATTCCTAATTAGACTAAACTAGAGGATGGCTGGCTTTCTTCATGCTTTTCCTTCCCTTTTTTTTTTTTTTTAAATGAATTCAGATCCGTGGGGCACAAGGACAATTATAATAATTAACAGGATATAAAGGGAATACAAAGGAGCTCTGCTAGCATAGTGCC